TTTTTTTTTTTTTTTTTTTTTTTTTTTTTCTTTCGTTTGGCGCCTTTAGTTGACCTGTTTTGATTTTATTTACTTTTTATTTTAATTTTTTTAAACCTTGCTTTTTTCATTTAAAAAAATCTACCCACTCAAATAAATAAATAAATTCCAGATACGTGCATGTATACAGAAAAGCAAGGGCCCTGAGTTGGTGAATTAAAGAAGCAAAAAGATATTTAAGTATGGGAGGGATGACGGCTGAAAAAAAAAAAAAAAGTTGTCCATCAACGATAGAAAAAAGGGGAAATATAAAACAGGGGCCATCCAAACATACGATTATCTCAAATACTACATACTACAGCTGCTGCTAGGATTCAAAACTCGAAAATCGTCCCGTCCGTCGTATGCCCAGCATGCTCAGAACCCCCCCCCCCCCCCTTTTTTTTTTTTTATTAACTGATTTTGATCTACGTTGCTCGACCATCAAAAAATCTCGTCGGGAGTCCGGTCTGTCTGGCTGGGGGTAACGGCTTCAACGGCTTGAAGAAGCAACCCCTCGCTCTCCATACAAAAATGATATCACTATCTTCAACATCATTCCATCATAAATCCAATATTTTCTGAAATTCTTTATCTATCTAGGTTCGCTTTTTTTTTTTTTTTTTTGTGCGATCACAGAAACTGATGGTGAATACAATGCTCTCTACTATCAGCTGAGATAGATATTATTACATTATGAAGATGGTAGTTATTGCGAATGTTTTTTTGTGAATTCATGGATGAGATAGAATAGGCACGTGACCAACACATTTCGATCCTCCATAGATCCTTTGTAGATCCTTGTAGAGATCCTCGTAGGAGCTTGAAAGCTTCTTAACTTCCCGAGTTCATGAGTGGCATCACTGACGATCCCGGTATATTCTCACAATGGACGGTTACAATCCTCCCTTGCCGGCACGCTACTGGCACCAGGAAGAAGTCGCTGCCAGCGACCTCATCGCCGCTGCTGTTGGCTATCCGCTGGTTCCCTGCGAGTTCCAATTCGCGATCGTAGACGAGCAGCTGGATGCTGCGCGCTCCGCCCTGGCTTCGATCGGTTATCAGGAAGTGTCCCAGACCCACAGGAGATGCTTCGCCGAATGCGCAACCAAGGAGAGTAAAACAGGCTGGCCCGGCTATCGATTCTTACCCCACGATGCTGGCGAGTGGACCACAAGCACCATCATCATGCCTGCAAGCTTCGGGCATCTTGATCTGGGCCACGACTCCTGGAGCAAAAACAGCTTTCTCTTTCCAGACAACCCTTGACCTATTCGAGAAGGTTATGGTTCCCTCTGTGCGGAAGAAGGTCTGTTATCAGCGACAGCAGATCCGTGCCGGTGTCGTGACTCCCAGAGCAGCAAGAGCTCTGATACCGAGGTTTGACCTGAGGCTTGCGACTGTAAAGGAGAAATACCGCGCCCGTGTGATAAGCTAGTACTATGGCCACTGGGTTGTCCATAGCAAAAGGCCAACGTAACCATTTTGTTGAATGGTTGCGCTCATAGTGATATAGATACCCGTGGGTGTGGTTGTGTGACCCACCCATCCCACCACCTATATATACTGCGACTAGGAACCACACTATGCTGCAAATAGTCAGAATGCAGAGGGGTAGTTGACCTGGGATTATCGAAGATTTATCCTGGGCCGTCTAGGTTGAGAATATTGAGCTCCTGGCTAGGAATTGTTCGGTATTTTTGCCAATGGCGGTTCTGTAACGAAACAATATCCTACTTTATGATCTCCTTCTCGTTCCCTTTCTCCTTCCCCCGCTGGCTCACACTCAAGTCACGACTTCCCTATACTGCCTATGTTTATATGTTTTATATACCCCAATCACACAAAATGCCTGGTGGTTTAACTCATCTTCTCCAGTGCTTGCTTGCCGCCCAAGACGGCTTTTCGAACGTCGGTGGGGAACTTCGTTTTGGTGATATCGGAACCCTAACCGTTGTCATTCTTACAACGGCCGTCGAAACTGTGACGTTGGAGAATTTGGGGAATGATCTACTGGTCGTGAACTGGATTCGCATCCCGAACCTTGAGAACGCTCTGGCGATGAAGATAAAATGCTTCTATCTTCGATAAGACGATGAGAATGGCTGGGGAAAGATACGGAGTGATATCCTCGACGTGGTGACTTTCTATAGCAGAATGGTCCGAGAGTCGCTGACCATTACAGATCTGTGTGCGGAGAAATTCCAGTTCGGTCTTTACCATTTGTTGGACAGCACATGGACTGGAAGCCTCACCCTCAGTCAGTGGCATTCGCACATCGACCAGGGCAGCTCAATAGAGAGGCCAGACCCAAATAGTGGAGGCGTGCTGAGAGCAAGCTCTCTCGATGGTACCGGAGCTGGAGGCACACTGGGCCTGTTGTGGAGTACGAGGTCAAGCCCCCGCCCCGGAGCTCGCTCTGCTTCGGCATGCCCTCCACTGCTGGCTTGCAGCACGCTCCTCACATGGGTAGTTCACATGGTATCCCCAGGTGTTTCCGCCATGAGGATGCAAAGCTTTGCTGTATGTGTGAGCATAACAAGAGCCCAGAGCACCTGGTCTTCTGCTGCCACTCACAGATACACTTCTCTCACTGGCTCAAGAGACCAGCTGTCAGACCATGCAACAGAGCAACAGCTATTGCTTATCTTGGGTCTTTGATCCTCTTGGACTTCATGGAGCTGCTGGAGCTGACTCAGTTCTACACTCAATTCGGCACATGATGAGCTATGGACTGCAGACAGACACGAAGTCTCTCTCTAGCTTGAACTTGTCATCCCCCCTCTTTCTTTTTGCCCTTTGAGATCTGCCTCAATTAAGATGCCTGCACACTTTTCTTATTTCCTGCCACTTCTCTTAAGTTCACTGATTCTCTTCATCTTTCTTATGTTCATGTTCACTCGTGG